GTGGGCCCTACTCCTGTGTCCGATCCAGTCCAGGTGGGCCCTGCTTTCTGTGTCTTGCTGCCTTCTCTCTGTAGGACCTGCCTTGCCATTTTGGTTGCCAAAATGCAACCATTTGGAAAACAAGGGAGGAAAGGTCTTTTTAAGCTATGAGCACCATCCCCCTAAAACCCCTAGGGCAGAGGTTTTAAAGCCACAAAGCCCTGTTTCTCCACACCAACTCTTACACAGATCTCTGGCGCGTAAAGTGGATGGAGTGTGTGTGGTGCGGGGAGCGGAGCTTGCCCATTTGGCTTCCCAGGTGTGCCCAGTGGGTACCTGGGGCACCTGCAGGACTCAGGGCCAAGCACATGGGCGGTGGCTTTCAGGGATCACACATCCTCTTGTCACTACCTGATCTTTTATGTTGAATTTGGACAGTCAGGAACCTGGTTTGCAGGCATCTTCCGAATGGCCTAGAAAGTAAACAGACCTAACTTTTGAATGGCATGAGGGAAATGTGGGGTCCACGCCTACACTCCAGACTTGCTTCCAGCGAGTCCCCAGTTCCAAGACATAATTTCTTGTGGTTGGCAGGCAGGAGGACGCTGCAGTGACCCCAGCCAGGCCCTTTCCTCCACCAGGACTCTGTCTTGGGGCCATCCTGGGTCCCAGATGGGAGCAGGCAGGCGAACGTCCATGCAGTCCTGCCTCCTGGGCTTCACAGGCCTGTCCTTGCCACACCACTATCCTGCCTGCCCATGCTGCTCCCTCCTCCACCCCTTCCTGGGGCCTTGGGAGACTGCACAGGGAACTTGGAGGCAGCAGATGGGTTCTCAGTGCCTGGTGGGGCGGGACTCCTGTCCTCGCCTCTCAGCTGAGTTCACGTTTCTGGACCCTGGAGAAGGCCCTGAGCGTCCTGTGGATGGAGCCCTGCTGCCCTGCCTGTCTCCGTGAGCAGAGAGGTGGAGGGCCTGGCTTTCCTCTGAGTGGGTCTGTTTCTCTTAGCAGGGCCTTTGATAACATGGTGACGTCCATGATGATACAGGTGTGCTGAATGAGCTGTGCTGCCGGCCATCACAGAGGATCCCACGCGTGACCGTGGTGGCCGTCAGTCTGTTCTCGTCGCCTCTTCCTGAGTGGGACGCCCGGGGCTTTCAGGGCAGGCAGCTGTGCATGTTCTCTCAACTAAAGGTCTTGTGAGATGAGATTTGGCTTTTTCCTTCCGTGTCAGCCAAGGATTTAACTAAGAAGAATTCAACTAAGGACTTTCAGGGGTGTGGGCAGAGGTTTGGGATTAGATGGTGCAGGAAGCCTGTCCCCAGTTGTCCCGAAAGGACAGAGGCAGGGGCGCCTGGAGCCAAGAGTTCCTGAGCCTGCAGGACTTGTGACCATGTGGGTCGCCCATTGGCTGAACAGGTGGACTGGTCTGGAGGGGGCGGCCTCCTGAGCCCAGAGCCAGCCTAGGATCTAGGGGCAAAAGGGGAGCCAGCGTGCCTTCCCACAGGGGAGGGCCCTCCTCTTTCTGGACTTGGCCTCCATTCTTTGCATCTGGCCCAACGTCTAGACTCAGCCTGGCCTGAAAAGAACGCTTGTGAAACCTGGGAAGCCTTGTGGCCCCGTGGCGTTGGCTCAGCTGCAGCCCTCATCCTAAGCCCTGGAGCGCAGACTTGAGGCGCCCCTTCCTGCCTGTTTGTGCTGAGGGGGTTCGGTGCCGTGTCGCTTGATGACATGACTGACTACCACCCAGGGCAGCGGCCGAGCCACTGTGTCAGTGCCGCCGGCAACCTTGGGGTCCAGCAGTCGAGGCTCAGCCAGCTGAGGAGACCCCCCCGCAGAGCTGGTTCCAGCACTGGTCCAGGACTGGAGAGTTTCTCAAGGGCCTTGAAGACCCCAGGAGCCCCTGCAGCAGGAAAGGCTGTAAGGGGGTCAGCCTGGGGCAGACACAGGGAGGGGAACTTTCTCGATACATATTTGCCTTTTCATCCCATCCAGCAAGCACAGTGTTAATTTTATAAATTATAGAAGAAGAAATCAGCAAGGAGTGTGTGTGAAAACCGCACGTCCCAGGCTTCCCTCGCCCAGGGTGAATTGGAAGTCCTGGCATGGGCCGAGGCACACCAGGCAGCTGGTCTGAGTGCACATGGGCCACAGGCCACCCTCACAGGGTTAAATCTTTAACAAGAGCCTCATGTTTGTTAGAAGGTGGGACCCCAGCCCAAGCACCTAGCACCTCCCCACTGCAGCCCAGTGTGAAATCTTTGCCTTTTAGTGGGGATCGCTCCTACCTGAGTCCTGGCTGTGGTGGGGACTCTGCAAGTTGCTAACCCAGCATCCATTCTCCTTCCTCCCTACTAACAGAACTCTGGTGCCTCTGCACAGCTCTGACAGTGGGCAGATGAGAACCATGTCCTGGCCTCCCTCGCAGCCTGGGGTGTGCAGCTGTGGCATGGAGGTGGTGGTGCTAGGACAGACTTGCAGGGAAGCTCCTGTGAAGGGGGCTCAGCTGCCACGTGCAGGGCCCTTCCCCTTTGCCTTCTTCCTGCCTGGAACATGGATGTGATGGCTGGTGCTGGGACAGCTGTCCTGAGAGCATGAGGAAAGAGTCACACCCTGAGGACAGTGGAGCTGATGCACAACGCAGGAAGGCGGACCCTGTGCCTTTGCTGACACAGAACACGGGAAGGACCCTAGGCCTTTGCTGACGTACCAGCCCCGGACTGCTTAAGTTCAGCTTTTTTTAAATGTGAGAAAATAAACGCACCCCTCTCTGGTTTAAAGCACTGCTATTTGGGTTTTCTGTTAGGCGTAGCCAGACCCATCTGTAAGTACTTTTTACATTAGGGAGTTTTCACAAGCATTGTAAGGCACCATCCCCATTTTAAGTCCAAGGAAACAAGTCATGTGCTCACCTCTGATCTGACAGCAGAACTGTCACGTGGCAGGTTCGTGCTGTCTCCACCCTGGGGTTGGCCTCATGGAGGGCCACAGCCCTGCCCACTCCTTCCTCGACCCCAGGCGACTTCTGCTGGACACCACGTGGGGCAGCCCCTCCTCCCCGTCAGGCAGCGACGATACTGCCTCTTTCCTTCTGCCGCAGACGGGGGACGATGAGCCTGTTCTTGTTAGTTGCCCACCGGAGCCAGCCAGAGCATCCGCTGCCTCGACGGAGCCGCAAAGGCCTCTGCAGGTCATGGCCCAGGGTCTCATCACCTGGAAGGGCCATGCTGAGGGATTCCCAGGTCTTCCTCTGCCTTAGCCTGTTCAGGTGTCAAGTCCACAAGAAAGGAGGGACTCCCCAGGCTCACTCCGCTGTCTCCTTGCAGAAGGCGGAAGATGAACAGGAACTAACGTGCGACATGGGCTAGAACAGCCAGGGACCTGACACACCCATGGGCGTGATACCTGCGTCAAGGCCAGCAGCGAACCCTCGCTGAGGGCCAGACCCTGGCTCTGGGTACTGAGCAGTCAGCAGCTGCCATCTGCAAAGTGCTGTGCTTGCCTCAGGCCCCTCCTGCAGCCCCCAGCTGTGAGCAGTGCGCACCAGACCCCGCCCTAGGCAGCTTGACGTCCCTTCTGGGTTAGGTCTGGCTCTCACTCTGATGCTGGGACAGCCCCCTCAAGCCCACCCTGAAGCCAGACTGGATGGCAAACCAGCAGAGGCCTGGGCAGAGCAGCTCACAGACCACAGAGCCCGGGTCCCCAGAGTGGACCTCAGGCAAGATCAGGACAGATCTTGGAGGGCCATGGCGGCTCCTTGGTCGGGTATCCCGATAATTAGGTCAGAGAGCTCAGTCTCCAGGCCTCCACCGTAACAGAGCACCGCATGGAGGGGCTTCAAACCCCGGGAATGTGTTTCCGCCCCATGTTGGAGGCAGAAGTCCAAAGGCTGGGTGTGGCTGCGGCTGGCTCCTGGAGGCTCTGGGGTGGGTCTGCTCCAGCCTCTGCAGCCACTACCGGCCCCTGTCATCCTCGGCATTGCTCCAGCCTCTGCCTCTGTCCTCACACAGTCTTGGAGCGTCTCTTGGTCTCTGTAACCAGTGTGTGTTTGGGTTTAGGGCCACAGGTAACCAGTGTGTGGTTGGGTTTGGTCTCATGTAACCAGTGTGTGGTGTTTAGGGACCGCAGATAACCAGTGTGTGGTTGGGTTTAGGGTGTGTGGTTGTGTTTAGTGACCAAAGGTAACCTAGGACCATCTCTAGACCTTTCACTGAATCCCATTTGCAAAAACCCTTTCAAGAGAAGTTCACATTCACAGGGTCTGGGGATCAGGACATGGATGCAGTTTGGGGGGCATCATTTACCCCACTACAGAGGCCAACATTGACCCAAGGCCCCACGGTGGGGTGGGGTGGGGTGGGGGACTGGTTTGGGGAGGAGGCCGGTGTAGGCGGGAACAAGGCCCCACGGTGGGGTGGGGGGCTGGTTTGGGGAGGCGGCTGGTGTAGGCGGGAACGAGGAGGGTGGCTCATTCCCGGAAGCAGCGCGTGGCCTGGTGCTGGAGGAAGGTGACTGAGGGGTGGTTGGGCAGCAGCCCACTGAATAGGAGCTGGTCTGCACGGGGCTCCAGGAATTACCACACTGAGCCCAATGGGGCACGAACGGGAGGTGCCGTCCGTCGTGGAGTGCTGGAGTCGGATGTGTGCACATAAGCAGCCTTGGGCCTCCGCAGCTGTGCATGCTTTCAGAGGGGACAGTTGTCAAAGTGCCCAGGACAGAGATCAGAGATCTCCACTTCTGTTTACTGAGCTTCTGACAAGGGCCAGCGTCCCGGATGTCTGGAT